ACTTAAATTATTGATATTCATATTTTAATTTGAGATGTTATTTTATATTTATATTCTTCAAACAATTATAACCATTCAAATTTTTTCATGTTAATAAATTAAAGTTAATTATATATAATATAATTTCATTTTTAAATATAGCTAATAATAGATCCACATGGGAGCCAATATCCTTTGCAGCCTTTATCAAATTATCTTGTGCGTGTCATTTGTTTGACTTGAAATCTGATAATCTGACGGCTGTTATTTAGGCTGGAGAGGGTATGAGAGAAATAAATAGTGTAGAAGATCTGAATCACCGTGGTACTCGTGAATGTGAGGGCATGAATCAGAATAGTTATTCCAACGACTGAATCCACTCTTTATAAAATTTGTTTCACCTTTTTCTTTTCACCAGTAATGTATGTATTTTAACACCTCGCTCTTATAAGTGGGAAATATGTGCGGTTAATATTAATTTTATATTATAATAAAACTTTATAATTGTTGAGTTTTTCATTAGAGAAATGCTAGATAGATTAAGCATAATGTTTCATTAACATTCCATATAAAAAATTCAACGTAAAAAAAATTAATCCAAAATCTTATGATAACAAATGTGTGAGCCTCTTTTGGTATAATAAATACTTTTGCGACTCATTTGTGACCAAAATCATATAAAGAACTCCAATGAGTTATTTATGAATAATATTAGATAGTGATACTCAAATTAAGAAAACAAAAAACTAGTTTTGCAATATATTTTCTTTATAGAAATATGTATATTCCTTCTACTAAACTTTAGTCTTGTTTTAATCATGTTTAATAAACGAGTAATGATATCATGATACACTTTTACATTCATTTGACACATGTTACAAGGATAAAATGGTAAAAAAGTGTAAACTTTTGTATTGTTTCAAGAAAAAAAAAATAAAAAGCAAGTAAGGATAGTGTCAAATGAATGTAAATATTTAGGTGTGTCAAAGAATCTCTACTCTTAATAAACACTCTAAAAATTATCAAAATCTACACCCAAACGTGTACTACTGTGTACAACTACGCTTAATATTGTACTAATGTTAAAAACTTACTCCATCAAAAGTTTATAAAATAATTTCACACACATGGCTTATTACCCACATAAAAAAGTTCCATATCAAAAAAACATCTTAGCGTTTTTTTAGTATTTTCATTCAAAATTTATATTATCCTTTTTCTATGTATTTAGTGGAGTCACAACATAAAATCACAACAAAACATTTTAACATGTTAAAGATAAACTAATTAAATAAAATTATCAACAATGAAATAATAATTATATTTCAATTACATCTAAACACATACATAAATAATAAAGTAGGGGTGATAAAACGGGTTAAGCCGTTATGTTTAAGCTCTACTCAATATTGGTATGCTAAAAACGGGTCAGGCTGAACTGACCTGCTTGTTTTTTTTGTTATCGAAAATCTAATATCATACAAAAACGGATTGAAATTTTTTATTTTTTATATGAAAACAAGTCAATGTCGGGCTGTCAAATTATCGAATCGATGTCTAACTGCAAAACCTAATTGAGTTTCTTCAATTAAACATAAACAATGGAAACATTGAAAATGGCAAAGAGCAAGACAGACTGGTCTGGAGATGAGAGGAGAACAATGGAGATGAACTCAAACTGTGTTAGTGTAATGAAGTTAGGCAGTAGGTTGGCCTGTCAGACAAGGCGGGCTAGCCTGTCGTGCTATCGGGCGTGGCGGGCTAGTTGATTTGGATTCCCAAGTTGAAAATGCTCTCCTGACCTGCCTTTTTTGACCGGGCTAGTGGGCTGGCCAGTCGGGCTTGACCCTTTTTTCCATCCCTACAATAAACTCATGTACAACAAAGAGTAATGTTACAAGATTCCACAAATGACAAATGTCTTCAAATAGATTCATGTTGAAGTTTATTCTACCAAAAGCTACCCTAGACTCAATTTAAGACCTTTATCAATGATGGACTAAAGAGTTAGGGATTTTGGTCAATTCATGTATTGACATCCTTTATGCTACAACAAGTCTCAAGTGTACAAAGAATTTCTCTCAACTTTTCATAACTTGGAGCCTTGATTTATGTGACTTAAAACTATTTGTGAAGTAAAGGGATATATAGTTTATCACATGCTCCTTTACTTAATACTTATAAATTAGACACAAGGTCAACATGTCATCCTTAATGTTGTGTTTACTTTGAAGGAATGATTTGGGAGAGAGTGAGTGGATGAATTTGAGGAAATTTGAAGGTGAATTAATTGTTGTTTATTTGAGTGAATTTGGAGGAAAGTGAGAGTGAATTTTTAGAAGTAAAGTTTCTGAGAATTAGTGTAGGATTTAACCGATGTCATATATTAAAAAAATATTTTAATTGGTACTGAAGATTACAAAAATGTCTCTAATATAAAATGATAATTGTTAATGTTATATTTAATTGTAAAAATGTTTACAAAGAGAAAAAAAATTAAAATTAATTTAAAAAGTGTACAAAAATTGTAATTTAGTAAAATGAAATATATATTTTTATTTTAAAAATCTATATATATCATTCTTCAATACAATACAAGGTTCATAAATTATTTTGACATTCACATAAAATGCTTTGCAATCTGCATGACAAATAACAAAGGAAACGTGGTTGTATTGTCATCTAGTATATGGTTAGATAATATTAAAGCACTTGGGCCATATATAACAGCACACTCTTACCAAACTTTGTTGTTAGCAAAATACATGTTATTTACATAGTCATCCAACAACACTGGGAAGTTGGAACCGAATAAGCCACCGCGGAACCAAATACAACCACAGACCATGGTGAACGAAAGGCTGGAACCGAATACAAAGGTAACCAGAACCGAATACAAGCACTTTTCATATCTCCAATATGTAGTGGAACTGAATACAACTTGTTGTTCAATTCCTTCTACGCGTTGGAACAGGATACAAAAGCTCTGGAACCAAATACAAGAGCTTTGGACGAACCAAAATCACGCTTCTTCAACCCCTGCTTCAACCTTTCTTCTTCATGTTCTCTATCTTCAACATATGTTCATGGCAACAACCACATATGTACGAAGGGAAAAGATGACTTTCACTCTCAATTCACACCAAATCGCACCGTATTAGCGAGTGATAAAAAAAACGTCCATCTCGCAAATCCACTTGATTTTGTCTTCGCAAATCCCCTAAAACGAATACAAAAGATCTCTCAAATCAGTCTTCGCTTTTCGTCTTAAATAGTATAATTTGTTCAAGTAAACAGAGTGTAAGTGCGAGACTAAAATAAAATATGATTCATTCATATCATATGAAATTGATATACAAAGCAAATTTCATAGTTATATTCATATGTGTTTATATGTATATTATCGTTACACAAGAACTAAGCATAAAAGTTGATAATTATATTCATATTACTATCTTTTAAGACTATTATTTGCAACTTTGACATAAATGACAAAGTCTTGCACACTCTACCACTAAGACGAAGAGCCCAAGACATTGGTTTCCAAGTGTCTAAAGATCTTTACAAAATTTCCCCATAAGAGCTAGTGAACATTTTTATTGTACATGAATAGGTTTTATTAGGAGACAAAAATAAAACTAAGAGTGTGTTCCGCTTGCTATCCAATAGAGAAGGGATTCCATTTTCCACAATATCTAGTAAAAGCATGTTCATTACTTCCAAGCAAGCAAGCATTTTCAACTTTCATATAGATCGTATTTCTCACCTTTGAACATGAGGTAGATGATTTACTTCTTGACTTTTTCCTTCCATTGAGTTTACTGGAACAAACCTCTTATCGTTGTAAAGAATTCATGTAGATGCAGACTTTGATATCACTTGTTGGTGTAGATGACTATAGAAATGGGGATTGAATATAACATATTAGGCACTTAATAAATTGAAATACCTAAGAACAAACATATCAATCATAAAAGAAAGTTTTATACTAGTTTCATCAAATTTATTAGCTATGTCCATTCCTCTTTTAAAAGCTATATTTAAGAGGTTACACTAATAAATTAAAATTGATTACAAAATAAATACACAAAACTCTCTTCTAGGTTACGAGTTTCAACTTCTCTAAGTAAATACTATCTCTCTGAATACAACTTTTTTAATCTACACCTAAGACTAATAACTCATTGAAATACTCTTAAAGACAAAGAAAGCAGATAAAGTTCACGTAGATAAACTTTAGAATATAAATAATATTACAATGACGTATCACTCTCATTTTTCTACTTCAGAATGAAAATAATATTGCAATGACTTATCACTCTATTTTTTTACAAATTAGACTATAAGAATTGACGTCATAAACACAATACTTTAACTTTGATCATGTGTTGTTATCGTAGAAGTGTTATTTTTATTATTTGAAAAAAATGATAAAAATTTATTTTTATTATAATATTATTTATTATTTGACTATTTATTGTTAATACATTGAATATTTATTGTTATTGTATTAACAGATATATTAAAAGAAAATCTTATTATTGGTTAAAGCTGTTTTAACATACAATAAATTTAAAAGACACCATATACTCGAACATGTAAGACTCTTTTGAGCTTTTTACACTTTTCAGATTAATTATTTTGTGAAAACTGTAAAAACCAAGCCATCTATTTCACGTGCTTTCATTTCCCATCACACTCTCCTCACACTACACATTAATCTAACTAAATAATATCATAAACGAGAGTATACTCACAATTAAACTTTTTTTAAACAACCAAATAATAACCATATCTTAATATTAAAATATTGAATTGAGATATTCAATTATGATTTAATAGAAAATTAATAAAATAAATTGTAGAATGGTTGTATAAAAATAGTTAGGTTGTGAAAGGGTGACAACTCTGTCATAAATTCGTATATGGGTTTTTATCATTGCAAAATTGCATGGTAGGTGTTTGCTTAAAGTCCATAGATTAAAGTTGGAAAGAGTGGGTTTCTATTATGATTTAATAGAAAATTATGCTTGTGAAATTATGCAGAGAATGAAAGAAAAAAAGGGCCCACTCAGAAATTCTGACTCTCCAGGCGGCTACGTATTCTAATTGATCCCGCAACCAATCATTCCTTTCCACGACCCCACGCTCTTGTCTTGTCCTCATATTTGAAAACCACGTTAACGAACCAGACCAGTGAATCGACACGTAACCGTCTAAATTTCTTGCTCCTAGCCTCAAATTTTTCTCCTGCACTTTACTTCCTTTCCCATATTCAATTCTTCAACTCTGCAAAATCTCTCTCTCTCTTTCTATGGCATCTGCTGCTACTACGCGTGTGACTCACTGTGAGCTGCGGCCAGCGAGACCGGCGGTTCGGGGAAGAGAACCGGGCGGTCCGGTTCAGGTGACGATCCCCAAACCGAAAGCGGTGGAGGCAGAAGGCACGAACGCGAACATCGTCTTGCAGCCACGGTTGTGTACTCTGAGATCGTACGGTTCGGATCGATTTGGTGTCATCAAGACTCCCAGGGACGGTGGCGACGACGTCTCACCCTTCTTCGCCGCGCTTTCTGACTACATCGAGAGCTCTAAGAAGAGTCAAGATTTTGAGATCATCTCAGGTCGTCTGGCAATGGTATATATACTTAGCACACAAGATTTTTATCTTTCAATTTTTCATGCATCTGAAAAAAACAAAAAATTGTTTTCAATTTTGTTGAGAGTGGGATTTGAACCCACGCCCTTTCGGACCAGAACCTTAATCTGGCGCCTTAGACCAACTCGGCCATCTCAACTAATGATGATTATTTCAATAACATATAAATAATTTTAAACTTATTTGTTAATATGATATGTTGGGTTTGGTGCAGATGGTGTTTGCAGGAACAGTGGCAATGGAAGTGGTGACAGGAAACTCTGTGTTCAGAAAGATGGACATTGAAGGAATAACTGAAGCGGGTGGGGTGTGTTTGGGTGCTGTAACTTCTGCAGCCCTCTTTGCATGGTTCTCCAGTGCCCGAAACAGAGTCGGTCGAATCTTCTCTGTCAGCTGCAACGCATTCATCGACTCCGTCATTGACCAAATCGTCGATGGTCTCTTCTATGAAGGGGACCCTACTGATTGGCCTGATCAACCCTGATCAAATATTTTCATTCTTACAATTTTACACATTTAATGTGTCTCCAAATCATAGACACAGTTAGAGGAACATGTAATTCTAGTATCTAGAACTATTATATTATATATATATATATATATATATATAGAGAGAGAGAGAGAGAGAGAGAGAGAGAGAGAGAGAGAAGAATAGCGTAAGTACTGGAAATAAATGATGCTGAAATATGTAAACTAGTATTTCTTAAGCATAGATAGACAATGAAATGAAATGTGGTTTTATTAGCATCGGGTATATATATCATTCAAAACCTCTGATGTGTGTCAAAAAGAAATGGGAAGTTGAATGCACGATTATTATGAATAAGAAACAGCTTAAAATTGTAATTTGCAATTCACGAATTTTGTTTACACTATAGACTGATGTATCCGCTCAGAAACCGTATAACGTCGAACTATGCTGCATTTTCAATTGTCTGAATGCACTCCAATACGTTTGCCTTCTTTGCCATTGCTTCCATCAAGGCTTCATGAAGCACCTTGTTGTTTTTCAAGAGGGAAGCAGCAAACAGAACCTGCAAAACATGAGTTTTAGCATAAAATGCACAATTTCTGGGTACATGTATTCTTAAAAATGAACAAACTGCAAATATATATGTTAATAGAAAACATACAGCCCATCTTGTGAGATTTTGTTGCTGATCTTTGCTGAGGGGTGGCTTGGTTCTGTTAATAAATCTCTGCAAGGATAATATTTCTTCTCAGTACTATTATTAGTATAATATCACATGTCACAAAATAATAGAGATTTCTAACCTGTAGAGTGAAAAGATCAGCAGATTGACCAACCACCTTGTCATATGTTAAACCTTCTGCTGCCAGTCCAGCCATTGATACAACAGCTAATCTGATATGAACAAAGGGAAATTACAACTCTCAATTTCTTCAAGCGGTTACTGACTTTTTTTCTTAAACATTGTGTAAGAGCAATTAAATAAGTACCTATCTAGCTCTTTAGAATCAAGCTGACCGCTATAGATAAGCTTTTCAAGCCTCTCATCAATGAGATTGACATGTTCTTTCCCAATATCCAGTGAATAGTCCAAAATGGGTAAGCCAAGGAGATAAGCAACTAGAATGAAACAGAATATGAGTTAGAGCAAAGTCACAGTCTCATGCTATGTGCATTCATATCAGCCAAAAAAAGAGAAGGGTAATACTCAAAAAGTGAGCTGCTTCATGTCTGGTAATCCTCTCTTGATAATCAGGAAAAAACGATGAGAAGCTGCTAATAGCAGCTTGGAGAAGCCTACACTAGCAACTTACAGCATTAGTGTAAAGCAAATTAATACTAAAGATGGGTAGCCATTGCTACTTGTAAACACAATTCTTAATTTATTTCTTACCCTGGTGATATGCTACCCACAGCCAGAACCACTAAGGAAATACTCCCAATCAAGTATGGAACAAAAAAACCCCAGTCCTACAAGATTCACCATACATGATCAGAGATAGAAACAAAACTCAAATTACGTGGTTGAGTGAAAGGAACGTAATAAGATGAAAATTATCAGAAAAAAGTATTTTCATCCAAAAATTTTCCATTCGCACGTCTCAACCAAACACAACCATAAGCTTTTCTTAAATACACAAGGTCGTAAAACTAAATGCATGAGTATGTCAACTTATAACAATAAGCCATTTTTATTTGCAAACCACCAAAAAGCATTAATAGAGTCTTAAGAATCACTAATGAAGTAGAATGCATTTTCTTTGTTCTTCTTATAAATCACATTTTAAAAGAAATTGATATTTTTGTAAAACATTTTTATAATTCTGTATAATCTTAGATTTGCTTACCTTATTTACTCACATTGGGTATTTGTATTAGTGAATAATGAAAGGAGAATTTTAAAGTTATTATTAACAATGAAAGCTAATTTAGCACATGAGTAATTTTGTTGTTGTAAATATAGGATTATTAAGACTAAAATATTCTTAATGTCTATTTTTTTTTTAAAAAAAAGTCTGTTTATTTTAGTATATTTTTAATTTCTCATTTTAATGTTTGATGGTAAGATAGAACTAACATAGATAATGTAATTAATGTGATTCCTATCAATAATTATTTTGTAGTTTAAGTATTTTAAAATGTATTAATCAGTCTCTTACTGATTAGGTTAAAATTGTCTTACATTAATTACAGTGCGTAGGAAAGTAAATAATTGCTTAATGTTCCACATTGGTTGCTAAAGCTTTATACAATATCATTAAACAGACATACAGAGCAAAACAGAAATGTGTTATTGATACCCCGGGAAGCTGCCCAGCCAGAACAGCAAAAAATCCTGTTGTTCCAACCACAGTGAAAAGAAAAGCTGCCTGCATCATGAGACATTTTTGTTTGCTTAAGAATGCCACAACTGACATCAAACATATGTCATGTTTTCAAGATGGAAAGTCTGTGATCAGAAACAACCAGTTTCCACATTTTCAAGTATGAGATATTTGCATATTACAGATTAAAAAAAACACTGCTCGTTGCATTTGATACTAAAAAATAAAGGTACTCTGAAAACTCACATCGTTTCTAACACTAGGAATTGCAAGGTTCTCTGCGTTTTTTATTCCTAGGCTTGTCAGCTCTCGCAGTGATGTCTGGTACACAAAAATTGAAGGGTGAAAAGTTGTATGAGGGATGAATTAGCTTACATATGAATGAGCACTGGAAGCACTTATGGGTGCTATGGCTATGTCCAGAATGGTTGGTGAGAGCTTAATGTTTAGTTGTCACTTTGCCATGTTTGTAATTGGAGACTGACCGTACGACGTGAAACATATGGCTGAGAACTCCATTTCTTTGCCCAACCAACTTCACCTAGCTGATTCAGTGCCTCTTTAACAGAATCACTGTCTTTCTGCACAAACAAGCACACATCTCTTAGGGAGATATGAATAATATTTTATTGCAGTGTTCTACAACATTGTTCAGCTGGTATCTAGCAATTAACAAACATAGCTATTTTGGTAGTTGTTACCCTTTGGAGTGAAAATCATTATAGATATTTGGTGGTAAACAAAGACCTTGGAAATGGCAGATTGGAGTGTGTTGAGGTCGACCCCAGGGGCAGCAGAGGAAGCTCTTGTCCATTTTGGAAGGTTGATCTTGAAACATCTTCGATGTTGATAATGGTAATAATAGGGTTTGGGAAGAAGGGGTGAGTAAGCCATGGTTGTCTCCCACATTATCCCTTTGCTATCTACTCTGTTTGCTTATTGGAGGGTGTAGTTTGCTGCAGATAAGTTAGTTGGTAGGACCAAATAACAAATAAAACAAAAAAAATATACATTTTATGTTGAGAGTGGGATTTGAACCCACGCCCTTTCGGACCAGAACCTTAATCTGGCGCCTTAGACCAACTCGGCCATCTCAACTTTGATGTCTGTAATGCAATAATCTTTATAGATAAACTATTAAATATGTGCATTTCAAGATTTCCATATAAAGAGATACCCTGGCATTCGATCAAGATCTTATTTTACAGCATAATTGTGTCTGTACAGGATATATGTCCAAATGAAGAGATAATACATTATCATTAGTATTATCGAGTTTCAGTTAAATATCAAAGGATTCTAATAACCTACTTTGAATAAAACCTTATTACCCTAAGAGGCCGGTCAAATGATGCCGGTAGAATGTTGTATCTCATGAATGATAAGGTAAGATAAGCATATATTTGATTTTGCAGCATACTAGGAACTCAATTTGTACTCAGTTTATACCTCTACATCACACAATTAAAAGAGTGTTAAGTGTGTATCATGTGTCTTTAATGTCTGAAGATTCTTAACTTTGCTTACTCCTAAAATAAAAGAAATATCGACCAGCCGCCTATATGATTACCCAAATTAGGATCAGAACCACATAACCGAGGTTTGATCTTGGAAATTATGGAATTTTATTTCGACAGGAGATATTCTAAACTTCTTTTTAACACGATATTAACGTAATGATTTTAAATAACAGCACAAATTATTCATCTGATGCAATTTAATACTTAAGTTAAATATAGCTGCTTACAATTTCGAGCGTGCAATGACCGCAAGAATAAGAAATACATTTTTTAGAATTGAAAGATAACTGGCGAGTGTTTTAGATTTCTTTCGCACAAGAACAACCATAAAACACGACAACGCCAAATGCTCGCATGGGAGATGTATGTAAGATAAAAGTATGTGAGTGCAGCTTTACTACGTACAAAAACCTCGTTCGAGGAGGACATACATATATTGATCAACTCAACTCGCATTACAGTACTTTGTTTTCCAGTAAATATATACATATACATCAACAATAAAGGAAACATAAATTAAATACCGTTGCTATTGACAATCATATCATGCTAACTTGCTGACACAAATTACGCTTAAACAAGTGCCATGATGTATTACTTCTTTTTTTACCAAAGAGATACTGCACAACATGTAGATTAAGGTCAACGACTTGACCTTAATTGCAATCGTAAATTGCATAGAACAAAAATATGAACAATCGAATGAAGTTTGTGAGCAAAGCTGGCATTAGCATTCTGCATAACTGTCACCTTCACCCTTCAAAAAGTTGTCAATTTGATCCAGTGCCTGCAAGATACAAACGGATAACAGTAGATAAGCATTAAAATGCAAAATTCAGATTTAACTATAGCTCCCAGGAATTTTTCAGTTTGCCTGGAGCCAAGAAAATACAGATAGAAATTGCTCGAGACCTCAATTGCAATATCAGTTGGAGACAATTCCGACACATCTCTTTTTCCGAGTTTTATTGCTATACCTGGTACAAACAGAACATCAAATATTGCTGTTAAATGTTATCATCTAAGAAGCATACACAAAACAATAAATACAAAGCATGTTTATTCTTTCCCAGATATTGTGGAAAATTCCACATTTAGTATTTCAAAACATTCGAGAAAGATTAAGTGACAAACTTTTTAACGAGACCCTGGCATTGGCGTTGGCGTAAGATTCGCCTCTCTCTTCAAAAATAGCAGACAATCGCATAAAGGCCTGCATTTGAATTCCAAAGGGAAAAATTATTTGGAGGCAAAAAAATTTAATACAAATTCCTACGATGAAAAGTTGGTCCAGCTTGCAAGCTTTAATACCTAAATTAATATGCTGTGTTTCGAAAAAAATAAAATAAAGTCATACTATGGAACATTAATAACTACCCGTGAATAAGGATCCCCTGCTTCATAGTGTAGAAGGGGGCGAGAATTAGTTCCTACAGCGGCAATTCTCCGTGCCAAGGCTTCCACTGGTACGTCCAACCAAACACTAACCCCCTTGTGCATATATTTCCTGGAAAGCCATTCACATGCAAGTCCATATATACATGAGAAAAGATTTAATTGGAAAGAGTAAAGTTTAAACTTTTCTCAGTAGTGAGTTAATTCTTATACCAATTAATGGGCCTTATAACAGCACCTCCACCAGTAGAAATAACAAGTTGACGCATCAGGGAAAGCTTCCGCAATACCTCAGTCTGAAATGGTAAAGCAAGGAAAGGAAACGGCAAATGAAATAACAGGACCTCGATAATAATCTAGAACAATTCATGATAGCAAAGTGTCCATGGAATTTAGAGAGGGTGGAAGAGAGAACTATAGACAGGACATTGTAGAGAGAAAGATCTGGACAAAAAAGCTTTCTTGTTTAGTACTTCGATTATGCAAAAGTCAAAACATCCATCTATGGACATTCTGTGGTACGTACAACAGAAGCTTTATCATACTCAGAATCGTGATTCCTAAGAATCGTGATTCCTAAGAATAACTAAAATATATTTACTTCGTCACAAATATTCTTGGAAATATTTATGCGGGTTTTTCGGGATTAAAGAGTAAGATGATATTTTTACCAGAAACCTTAATTATATACCACATTAAATGATTTAATATGAACAAGGAATTTTTACCATAGTAAAACAACTTTTAGCTAAGGAAAGTTATTCCACCCACCTCCCATGAAAACGATTTTGTGGGGGACTTAGCCAAAAAGCATGCCCAGGAAACACGGTTTCCAGAAAAGGCTACTTTTTTAAAACAAATCAAACATACGAAACAAACATTCCCAACCCAACTTCTGATTGCCATAAAACTAGAAACTATTCTTATATATACCAAACACCCAAGACTAAGCGAGTGCAATTTCCTAAACGTTAATGTCTACTAATACTAAATGCATTTTAACATGGACTACGTGAGCAACACATAATTCAAATCTGCTCCTCGTGCTAATGCTTTCTAAGCTTTAAGCTTGTTACAATTTTTTTTTCCTTAAGTGAAAGAAAAATATTCCACTAAGCATAGTTGAAATGGCAACACGGAGCTGCAGGAGATGGAGAAGTGAGAATTGCTGGAAAGACAACACAGCAAGCCCTTGGAACATATCCAAGTTCATCGTGAACTAAAAACACATCCAATCAACTGAAGTGCAAGATGAAATAAACCAAACACATGACCAAACTACAAATCACAGATGGGGGATGGTGGAGTTTTGTTTGAGGTGACAGGTGGAGATTTACTCAGACGAAAATTGACTCAACTGGAGGCTGAGACCAGCTGTTACATATCACTGGACAATGTTCCTAGAATAGCTTAACAGGATAGAAAAGGCAAATGGGAAAAAGGTGGAAAATAGAGAAGAAAGCTACTGGAAGGAGGGGAGAAAGCTATACAAAATCAGAACACTTCCATATTTTCAGAATAAGGCAGCAGAGTTGTCCCGGGACAGGTTAAAGTAGAACAGGGTATAGCTCACTAGTGGCGCACAGAAGTGGCATGCAACAATAAGTGAGCTATCTCACCATCGAAAACCTTGATAATAATTACTTCAATATAAAGGCGATCATGAGAATCCCTGTTCAACTAGGATTTTTTTCAAGATGGTCATATACTAAATGTGGGCCCCTTCTTTTAGTAGGGACTTGAACAGTGATTCTCTGCTTTGCGAATGACTAACCCTTCCACAAGATCTGATATCTATTGGATTAAAATTAAGTGCTTTTAGTCTCTAATGAAGGACTACAAACACATTGCTAAATGTAAGAATTAAAAAAGAAAAAGAATAGGGAACAAAATGAAAAGCCATATTTTTATTGTTCAAGGACTAAAAACATATGTAAGCCTATTTTCTATTACCCAATTAAAACAGTTAAACACCACCGCAAGCTTATAATATGAAGATACGAGATCATGAAGATTCTCGATGAGATTAAAGAAATAGGAAAATCTAAAAGTTAAAACAACTAACAAACTCTCTGAAGTCTGGACACTGAAGAATGACAAGTGAAAAGTGGTGTTTTCAAACTGACCTCCTTATTACGAAAGAAAGGCTCACCATGGTGCTTGAAAATATCAGCTACAGAGTTTCCTCCAACCTCCTCCTCCACCAGTGTATCGCTACAAATTAAAAACCCATAAGCACAAGAAATAGAGAAAATATTTGGCAAGACCTCTGATGTGGTCATGAAACAGAGTAAATGTATTGTGAAAGAACATGTACATTGCAGTATAAGGATCTGAACAGAAACATTGTACACCAGAGTAAACCATACTCCCCAGCTCAACCATGACCCACCCTGTTTTCATCTATTGAATTCAATCAAACGTATATACATCTTTTACATGTTCTAAGTTGCCTCAGATATTAATTGAATATTGAAGCTCGTATACTGAAATATAATGAAATAAAAATAACAGAGCTGCTATACATACAAAAGATCATTCTTCCTGAACTCTATTGGCCCATTGATATTCAATTACACAAGATTTACTTGTTATTAAACGCATTTTCACTCCACGGAGAAAAGATGAAGAATTAACACACTAACCTGTCACAAAATGAATAACCAAGTACTTGCGACATTATCTTTCCCACAGTGGTTTTCCCAGAGCCCATCATTCCTGCTTGTCAAATTCAAAGCAAGTTTAATGACAAAATAAACACACCATGTAAAGCACAAGAAGTGAAGAAAGACACTAACCAACAAGATATATACAGCGTCCATTTAAATATGGTTGGATCTCTTGCGATCTGTTCTGCAATTTTATTGATTCGAGTCAGCAAATAGATACTCAAAGATGCAACAAATTGACTTAATACTAATTTATGATGTTTTTCCTAGCTATTAACCAGACTGAATTTTCTCAATGAACTAAACATGATAAACAGCGTCAATGCATTATGCTTTTACCTTTAGAATCAATTCTTCGTCAAGAGGAGAACGAACATGTCCAGATTCCAATATTGAAGCTAAGAGAACAACATGACGACATAAGATGTAAATAATTAAAACAAATAGCACTTGTTTTATTCAGAAACAAACAAGATCCAATGTAGGCATATTATATACTACCTCTATCTGGATACAAGCTAGAAGTGATTTTAAGATATTCTCCATTGGAAACATTGAGTTATTTGCAGTAGAGAAACTCTCAAAAGCCCTTCTAGCTTTGTATCCAAACACCCTCTGCATCTAAGAAGATGTGATTTAATACTTTATTCAACCAAACAATAGAAACGGAAATGTAATTCAATAAGTAGATAATAAAAGCTAGCTCAAAACTGGACCTGGGAATGCTAGTATTATCTTTTCATAATCACATAACTTTTTTCAATATAGATATTGCTGGAAAAACAAAAAACAAAACCTTAATCTATGTTTATGTACATAATTGGAACAAGAAAAAGAATGGATGCACAGAACCTCTAGAATTTAATCAGAACGTACTTTCGATCTAAAAGTCGTTTGCGCTATTGCATAATCATAGACTGACATAAAATTAAAAATCACTTCTGTAGTAGTTATTTTAAAATCGTCTCTAAAATTTTTCTAATAAGTTGATAGTGTCAGCACTTTTCTCAAACAATAACAAAAAAAAAAAGCATATCCCACCAGGTGAAGGCAAATTACATGGATGCCACACAATATTCAGCAAGGTGAAAGACGAAAATTTCACATAAATTATTTATCACGATATCTCTCTCACCATCCCCCCTCAAAATCAAATTAAACTCAAAAACTGATGGGAATGTACTCCGGAGGCAGATTCAGAATATTCCGCACAAGAACAGATCGTTGTTTCCAATCCATTAACAATTTACAAGTACGGTTCATTTCTTCGTTGTAGCTTCTTTACGCAATTACTAATCCTTCTTTTCAACATTCCTTTCAGCAATTTTTTAAGAGAGAGAGAAACAACCCTTCAATTCAAGAACAAAAGCGAGTGGAATGCAGCAATAGCGCAATCCAATAGAATTAAAAAGGAAAAATCATGAAGAGGTGATCGGTTTAATAGGCAACCTGAAACGTTGTCGTAAGAAGAAGAAACCTCCAGAGAGGTTGTTCTGCGGCGTGTCACGGTTGAAGACAACCTGGTGGAAACAAAAAGCCGAATCCTCTGCGGTTCTGGAGACATACCCAAACGACCAGCTCTGGGTCTTCTCCCAATCTTTTCATGCTGAACAACCGCTGAAAGTTGTAACCCACGTGCAGCTTTCACGTCCATTGCTGAAACGACACAGTTTTCCCCTCGATTACGATGCAAGATAACCGAAACGACGGAACCAAAATCCAGAGGAAGTGAAGGAGAAGAAGAAGGTGCAGAGAAAGAGAGAGAGAAAATGGAACAATAGAGTCTAATTGGAATGGAGGCTGAGTGTAATATTAATTTATAATTATAATAAGTGTAATATTAATTTATAATTATAATAAGTGTAATATTAATTTATAATTATAATAAAATGGAATGACGTGAGTCAGCGTGGGAAAATGGATTATTGTGGACTGAAATGCTTTTATTTCACATTCTTTTTCTTTTTGCATAATACCCTCACATTCTCTTTAAATCAATAAGTTTATCATATTTTTTAATCAATGATTATAGAATTATTTTATTGTTTAAAGAACTATTTTCTCGCTCTTCATTAGTGAAATTCAAGATTTAAACATCAATTAAACATAAAGTCAGATATAATACGAATTTAAAGATAACAATTATTATATAGTTAACATACATATAATGTGGATGGATAAATAATCATAATCTTAATGTGTATATATATAATTTATTCATAATTACAAAGCTTTATTATGTGTATTTTGGTTGAATGAGTCAGAAAACTTCTTCGTTAGAAAATGGTATTAGTACGACCGTCAAGTGTTTTCTTCTCTTTTTATTTTATCTTAACTATTTTGTGATTGAGTTTTTTTTTTTTTTAATTTCATATTGTCTTCTGATTTACTTGACCGTTATTTATTTAATTATAAATTGAATTTACAAGGATTTTATTTATTTTTAATGTAAGTGATATAAAAAGTTCGAACACATTAATTAAACAATTTTTCCCTTTTCAATAACGATGGATGGGTAGGTGGATTCGTGTTTGGTTTGGTGCAGCAATATACACACGTGTCTTTTTCAGAGTCACATATGACAAAATACATTTCGCCTTTTTTTCTATTTGATTTAATTATTTATTAGTAATACTAGTTTCCAAATAAAGGAATGTTAGGTATTATTATGAATTTACATTTTTTTATTTTCTTTAATTATATTATTATTGGTAATAATTGTTTAACATACTTACTTTGTTTTGTAGTTTTTGTATTTAAAAATAATATATTCTTTTACTTTTAATAATATATTTAAACTATAATAGTATTCGTAAATTTAAATATCAAGAGTTAAGAAATTAAAAAATAAACTAAGAACATTAAAACAGTACTATACCAACTAAGAGGGACAAGTTTTTAGTATAGGATTAAAAATATATAATTGATACAATTATAGCAACTAATCTTTTTTACTTATTTATAAGAAAAATTTCAAATACAGTTTAGAGATTGAAACTAATGAAAAGAGTGGTAGTTGTCAAATAAAATGATGATAATAATGACAGGAAAATTCTCGTTTGAATAAATGTTGTTGCTTGTTATAAAAGCATTTTTAAGCTAAATATTATCTGGCTTAAGTCTAAAAACGTTTTTAATTAAGAAATTATAATTTATTATTAGAACACGTTCTGCAAAACTTTATACAAACGTTGTTTAAATTATTGTTTAAAAATGGTTGTGTTGAAAAATATATATTTTATTGTTTTTATTATTATCTATTGTTATGAAAAATAAAATAAAATAATGGAAATGTGATGTGATGGCAAAGAGTGGTGCGTGTTCACCTAACATGTCTGAGTAGTTGGTAGATGGGAGCGAGTACTAAATAGAATCTCGTGTCTTGTGTTGCAGACTTCAATTCGTTTCTTTCAAACAAATAAATAATAAAAACTTTATGTTTTAAATGATTTTTTTTATTGCTCAATACTATCCCATGGTGTTTAATACTCCTTTTTATAATTTTTGTTTTAAATTTTTTATTCGCGTTCATGAAGGATAAAGCGTCAAGTTATTCTTTAAATCATATCAACGGTTGATTTACATGTATACGTTTTTAAACATATATACATACATACGTGTATATAGTTTACAATAAAAAAAATTATTTAGTTCTATGTGAAATGATTTTTTTTTAAATTCTATAATATATATATATATATATATATATATATATATATATATATATATATATATATAAACACTAAACATCAATTTTACACATACATCCAATTCAATGTAATTTTAAACATCAATTTTTATATTATTCTCTACTTTCATAAAACATAGAGTCATTATAGAATAATATCATAGTTATAACCAACAATACAT